TGATCCACTGAAACTGGACTTAGGGAGGACAACTCAGTAGTATCCTGGAGATAGGATAAAACCCTGATTACCCCAATTCTTGAGGGTAGAGGTCATAAGATACTGATAATTTATATGGAAAGATTGAAAGGTATCTGAGATGACAAATATCACCTCCATTTCAGGGGTGAGTCCCTGCACCTCCAGTATTATAGTGATAGGAGGGGACTTAAATGAAAAGAAGAATGTGAATAATACAAAGGGAGAAGTTTTATCAAATCAGTTTAAAAACATACATCTTTGAAAAGCGAGGATAAGTATTTATTCTAGCTCTTAGGATCAACTCATCCTAACACACCAGTGAATTCTGTTAAGGTTCAGCAAGCCTGGGCCCCAAAGGACCATAACTCCTAAAAAGGGTCTCATAGTACAACAAAACATAGAGTGCCTCTCTATGTATCTGTAACTCAAGGTAACTTTGTCTCATTGTATATCTACTTCCTGAGCCTCTATCTCTAGATAACTTGGCTTTGAGTCCTGGTTCTGCCATTTCCAAGCTTGTGACCACCAACAATTTACTACTACTTTGAACTTTGATTTTCTCAGCTATAAAATAATGATAATTATTTTATCATCACCAGGGCTATTTTAAAGATGAAGAGAGTTAATATATGTCAAATTCTTAGCCAAGTGACAGTTATATAGCAAGTGCTCAGTCAGTTATCTCTGGATTTATGCATACCTTTTGAGTTGCCTCCATCTTTTTAAATTAATGCATCCATATATGCTGCTATCCCTGTGCCTCTGTGTCTCTTTCACATGACCTATTTCACTCCCAGCTTGTACAATTTATACTTCTGTATATTTTTAATCTCTAACTCATCTCTATCTTTTGCTCTGTATTTCATTATATCTACCTCTATTTTTATCATTTTTGTAGATATCTACTCAGCTCTCTTTTGATATCTTTATATCAATTTTATAAATCACTACATTGTTGTCACCTGTTCCTAGGTTTATATGGTTATATGTCTAGCCATGTATATTTCTAAAGAGCCCCATCTATCTATAGATATTGTTGAAAACTAACACTTGACCTCCTGGTCATTTGCAAGACTTACCCACAGGGTCCTCCTCCATGACTCTCCTCCCACCTCTCTCTGAAAAAAAGCAGGAAGCAGGAAGTAACAAGGGTCACAGTGCTCTTTGGTCTTTGGATTGGACAATATCAATTCATTCTCCAGTGGTTTAAGATGTGTAAAACAAGCCCAATTTCATGCCATTTTTCCATTCATCTCTACCCATCCATGAACACACTGATATTAATTCAGGAATCTAGAGACACAAAGATGAAAAAGATAGAAATATTCCCTTCAGAAAGTGTACATCCTATCAAAAGATGAGTGAGGGAGACTCTGGGATTCAATAATTCACATTCTGGTGAGGCCAGCTGGTCTATGTTTTCAGTTTTTCTTCTTCACTGATTTCCTGAATACCTTCTAGGCCAATATCAAGCCCAGGGCTATACAAGTTCAGAGCACCTTGGCCAAATTGTGTGATCAGAGAACTACTTTCTCTGTTGTAGTGGAAAGAGTCCTGATCTGGGACTAGAGCTACCTGGAGCCTTATCTCTCCAAGAAAGCCATTAGCTTTAAGCCCCAGAGAGGTTCATCTTTCCGGGCTTTGGAGTCCTCAGCTGTAGAATGACAGGGTGGGACTGGAAAATTTCTGGGGACCCTTGTTGCTTTGACCTTCTGAAAGTCTATAATCATACACAAGTTTGAAATGATATCTGGAGACCCCCTTTGGAATGAGTGTTGGGACCCAGAACTTGGACTCTGAAGTCAGGTGGACCTGGGCAGAGACTTCTCCATAGGAGGGACTGGTATGTGCACTGTAGGTCACAAAGCACTTTCATACCCATTATCTGATTTTATCTTCATGAGAACCTAGTGAGGCATTTTTACTCCCATCTTCATATGAGGAAACTAAAGCCCAGAGAGCTAATTGGGTAACTGAGTGCTAACTACTTTAGATCAGCTGTCTCATTTAAGTCACATGATAATCCTATGGCTTTTCCAATTCTTCTTCCTCTTCTTTATTTCTCTTCTTATTTCTTTTTCCTCCTCTTCACCTTCTTCTTCTTGTTTCCATTTTATAGATAAGCAATCTGAGGCTTATGGAGGTTAAGTAGCTTTCACCCATTAACAAGTACTAGAGTTCAGATTCAATCCCAAATCTGTCTAAAGTCTGTGCTCATAAGCTTGGTCAGAATCTTTAATGCCTAGAGAGGTTGGAAGGTTACATAAAAAAGTGAAATGATCCAGGTAGAAGGATTATTCTACTTTCCTTTAATCTCACCAAAGAAAAACAAGAGCATAAGTAAAATAACAAAAAAGAAACTATACTTTGCATTGCATCGCAGATATATTATAGAATGATGGAGAATTGTAGAACATAGAAGTAGATGTAGAACATAAAAATATATGCCCTATCTAAGAGGGGCACTATTAATTATTGGGTTTATGGAAATTAGGCTCACCTATGACATATCTTTTGATATTAGCGGAAAAGCTGGATGTCTAGAATCTTAAGTATAATTTCTCTATTTCTAAATATTTATAATTACTTACTAAACTATATAAACAAAAATTATGTAGGCAAAAAATAAAAAGATGTCTCATCCTGACTGTATCTGGCTCACAGGATGCCAGGTTAGTACTTTTGTCCTGCACTATGCTGTCTTCAAGGACTACTCCATAGCATTAGCTGAGTACCTGCTGTAAAACCACCAGGCTGCTCAGCTCAGGAGTAGGAGTAAATACTATGCCTTGTTGCTTACGGTCAGCATTTACTCTGAGTGGATGTTAGATTTTGAGTATCATTCTTGGCTGGATGCTTTTGCATAAAATAATTGCCTTAACCCACACAACAACTCTGGAAAGATTTAATTATCTTCATTTTTCAGTTGAGTATATTAATATTCAGGTTGATTTTAAAGGTCACCCAGCCATAAGTAGCCAACCTGTGATGTTAGCTTCAGGTCTGACCATGTTCTCTTCATTCTGTAGTGTTGCATCTTTCAGGTGACTTTAATTGCTTCAAGTTAGGGAATTTTTCCTCTTTAATATTTATCTGATGAGAACCTGACATAAGGAGGAAGTCAGGGACCTGGAATCATCTTTTAGGACAGATAAAACCTTTGCTACCCCTCATTATCTCCACCACCAGGTCTCCTAAGGATGGAGAAGAAACCAATAAGGTGAAGAAGGAGGAAGAAAACAAGAATCTGCCCCTTCATGGTCCAGAAGCTTTGACATTGATGTGAGACACTCCTACATTCTGTAGGTGACTGCAAGCACAGACATACAGGGAGGGGACTGGCTGCTAGAATGCCAACCTGGGTGATGAACCATGCAGATGCCAACCAGCTGTCTCATTGTGTAAGCCAGACCCAGAACCCTTTATATAAAGACAGCCCTCTGTCCAGATGCTTCAGCCTGAATGTCTGCCTGCTGTGAGGAGGGTGAGTCTGTGGTTGGGTCCTGGGATTGGGGTAGGGATGTGTCTCAGGGGATGCCCAGATTCACAAGGGTGAGGCATAGTGAGGGAGGCGGGAATTGCAAGCAGAGGAAGAGTGGTACCTAAACCTGAGGAGAAAAGTCTGGTAGACTTTTACAGGACATAAGAAGAATATCTGTGAAGTTTGTATGAAGAACTGAGGGTCTGAAGTAAGTGTATTTGCCTTTGATAATGCTGGCTTCCTGCTCAGGTACCATTTTCCCACATCAGGACATCTCACCCTGGAAAAGATGCATGAGTAATTTACACTTTGTGAGCAGAGATGTGTGTAGGGGGGTTACTTTCCCTAAGGGCATGTGTTTTTAGATATTCTTTATTAATAGAGAATGGAAGGCTTTGCCTTTCATTAGAAGCATTTTCAGTATATCTGGAGCTTATTGAGAAGTGTTTTGTTGGATGAGTTAATTGTTAAATCAGCCACCCTGCTGTGCTGGTCACTGGGTTGCCTGTATATGAGCAGGTGAATTTAGGGAGGGCAGAGGAATGGAGACTGCCCTCTGTTTCTCCCTGGATAAGTGTAGTGTTAGAAAGTATGCCTGAATCCCCCAAGTCATGTTTGTAATGCTCCTGTTGTATAGGGGTTTATGTGTGCCTGAATGCCAGTCTTGTGATTTAGGAATCTTGCGCTTTTTGGGTTACTCCATCTTAGGCAGTCATTCCCTGCCTTTAAGAGTGGCTGGGGTAAAATATTTCTGAAGCCAGCAGATTGTCCAACTTCAGGTGATTTACAACAACAACCTGCCTGGGCAAGCTGCCATGGTGGTTCTTTCCAAGGCTGGTGTGTTTTGTCTGTGTGTGTTTTGCCTATGTCCATGAGAGTCATTTAAACAAATTCACCTAAAAATATTGAATGTAGATATGTTGGGTTTGAGCTGCCCAATAACTGACTGGATCCTTTACTTTCCAGTGGATGTTTTGCGAGCACATGGTGCCTGAATGCTTGCTCCCATATGTTCATCTTTACATGATTGCACATGTGTGTGTTGCCACTGCATGTCTGTGAGGATATCCAAGCTCCTGTGGGTGTGGAAACCCCACTTTGGGCTGCAGCCTTAGAAGCACCTCTACCTCCTATAGAGTGCGCTCCTGCCACCTAGGACAAGGAATCCCGTTGTCTTCAACACCCTCTTGTGTCGGACACTGGTATGCCCACCCTCCAGGGGGAGACCCTGGATGCCTGCTCCCCTGGCTGTGCCTTTGAAGTTCCCTCAGATCAAGACTTCAGTTAGGTCCTTTGGTAGATCCAAGACAGGTCTCATGGGCAGTGGTGACTAATATTGGGTCCATCTAACTCAGTAAGTGTTCTAGGGTAAAGGTCGAGAGTTGGGGATGAAAGTACAGGGGAGAAGCAGGGTGTCTCCCCCTTGGTCCTAGACCCTTCTTCCCAACAACTTACTCTCCTGACACTGATTTTTCTACCGTAGGTCTCACTCACCTGCCTGCATCAGAACCATGTGTGACCAGCAGCAGATTCAGTGTTGCCTGCCGCTCCCCCAGTGCTGTGTGAAGGGTTCCTCCTTCTACCCCTCCCAGTTCCCCAGTGCCAAGAGCCAGGCGGTGGTCCAAGCCCCTTGTGAGATGCAAATTGTGGAGTGTCCCACATCATGCCCAGTTCAAGTTTCCCAGGTAAAATGCCAGGCTCCATGCCAGTCCCAGACTATGCAGGTGAAGTGCCAGGCTCCATGCCAGTCTAAGACCACCCAGGTGAAGTGCCAGGCTCCATGCCAATCTCAAATTTCCTGTGTTCAATGCCAGGCTCCATGTCAGCCTGAGGTGTCCTGTGTGCAATGTGAAGCTCCATGCCCTGTTCAGACCTGCTATGTAGAATGTACTCCAGTTTGTTATACAGAAACTTATGTGGAATGCCCAGTCCAGACCTTTGTACCCCGTCCAGCTCCTCAGCCTGTCCAGACTTACCTGGCTTGTCCCCCAGTTTCCCAGACTCAGGGAAGATTCTCAACCCCGTGCCAGTATCAGGGCTCCCATGGCAGATACGTCCTGCAGCGTCAGTCCCCGGCTTCCTACAGCAACTGCGCCCCACAGTTCCAATCCGGGACTTACTACAACAACTGCACCCCCCAGCGTCAGTCCCGGGCTTCATTTAGAACTTGCGCACCCCAGTGCCAGGCCCGAGGCTCTTATGGGAGCTTCCCCGCCCAGCGTCGCTCCCAGAGCACCAGCAGATGCCTCCCTCCTCGCCAGCTGCAACCTTCTTACCGCAGCTGTTCCCCTCCACGACGGTCTGAGCCCTACTACAGCAGCTGGCTGCCATCAGCATGTTCTTCGAGTTCCTATAACTACTGCACCCCACCACGCCGCTCTGAGCCCATCTATAGCAGTGGCTGTCCTCGGGGTCCCACTTCAGGCTGCTCTCAGAGATGTGGTCCCAAGTGCCGGATAGAGATTTCCTCCCCCTGCTGCCCCAGGCAGGTCCCCCCGCAAAAGTGTCCAGTTCAGATTCCCCCCATCAGACGCTGCTCTGAGAGTTGTGCCCCACAACCCTCCTGGGGTGCCTCCTGCCCGGAGCTGAGGCCACGTGCAGAGTCACGTCCACTCCCAAGTTTCTGTCCACCACGGCGTCTGGACCAAAGTCCAGAGAGATCACTCCAGCGATGCCCACTTCCTGCCCCACGTTCATGTCCACATCCTGCTCCACGGCCATATCCACGTCCAGAACCACGTGCAAGATCAGAGCCCCGCCCATGTCCTCCACCGCGGCAACGTTCCGAACCCTGTCTGTGTCCAGAACCATGTCCAGACCCATGCGCAGCCCCACATCCTAGACCAGTGCAGCGTGAATTTCCCGAGTCACGTCCATGTCCACAGCCCTGTGAGCTCCCAGAACCTTATTTACTTCCAGAACCAATTCCCCTTCCAGCACCCTGCCCGAGCCCAGAGCCCTGTGTGGAGCCTCGGTGGTGTCCCAGCCCATGCTTGGGACCAAATCCAATCCCATGCCGAGCAGACCGAGGCTGTCATGAGTCTAGCCCATGCCGCCTAGACATTGAGGCCCCCAGCTGTGGCCCAGCTGGTTATAACCAGTGGCAAGGAACTGGTGACAGCTTTGGACCTTGTGATGGGATTCCAGAGCCACAGGGTTTCAGTGATTGTGGAGACCAAGGAGGCACCTGTATTGGACTGAAACGAGGTTCTTCTGTTGGAACAAAGGGGGCTTATTTTTAAGGAAGCATGGTTGACACATCCCTACCTCTTGCCCTGAAAATGTCACGCCTCCTTTCCCAACAACCTCAATTTCCAACACATTCTATGTGCATCTCTCCAAAGACAGTCTCCCTGCTGCAGAGGTGATGTCCAAACTCCATCGCATGTCATCTCAGGATCCACACCTGGGTTTCAGGCACCTCTCCACCCTCACATCTGACTCCTCCCCTGTACACATCCTCAGTTCTAGCCAAACCAGTCTGGCCACCAGGGCACATATGGGTGTGCTCCAGAACATACCTTAGGTGTCCCTGCCTCCAAGCCTCTGCTCACTTCCCACCCTCCTTGCATAGACCACTTCTGTGCTGTGTCCAGCCTCTGAAATCGAACCCATCTTTCAAGACTTTTTCCTTGGAGTCTTTTCTGTTTGTTCCTACCCACGGGAGCCTACAGTGACTTCCTAGAACCCATTGCATTGTCCATACCAGCCATTTGGCAACTCCCTTGCAATGTCTCTTGAATTATCTCACTTTTAAGATGTGTCTGTTTTTCCTGACCAATAAGTTTGTAAACTCCCATTTGAGTGGAGTGAGAATATCCCTAAAGTCCCATGCTTCTCCTGGGGAAAACAGCTGCTCAGCAAAGCTTGTGGGTTGGCAGCTTGAGCCATGATCTATCCTGATAGGCAACCCCAGGATCTGGGAGAGAAGGAGGCCATGTAACAATAAAGATGATACCCTCATAGTCTGAGTCCTGCAGAATGTCTGTTTTTTACCCTTCCTGACTCTCTGGGATGAGCTTCTTTATATATATATTTTTTTCTTGAGTGTATTGTACCTGTGATCTGAACTTTCCTTAACCGGGTAAGCTTCCTTATGGATTTTCTGTTTCCCCTCAGTGTTCCTGGCTTCTCCTGGTGGGAGAAGCTGGATGAAAAGGTAGGAGGAATGAGGGAACAAGAAGAATAACTCTTGCTCCTCAATCTGGGGGTAAAGGACTCAGGTCTAGGTTGGGCAGGTCACCCAGCTGTGGGTGTCAGGAGGGAGAGGGGAGCTTGAGGGGAACTGGAAGTTCTCTGTGATATTCCACAGGATACACTCTTCTTTTGTTCAGAATAAACTATTTGCCCTTTTCTTTTTTTTTTTTTGACATTGTAAAAAAGGGAGCACCCAAGGTTGCCATCGCTCCTGAATCCCACTGAGCATGAGTGGTCTTGGCAGCATGAAGGTGGGGCTTGGAGGGGCTGGAGAGAGAGGGGTGCCTCTCCTCCCCACTCACTGCCTATGAGTTGGGTGCTGTAGAATGAGTGCTCTTGAGGAGAACATTTCCCCAAATGGAGACAGTGCCCCGAGGCCAGCAGGGTCTGTAGAGGATAAAGGGGATCCTCTTAAGAGGACAGCAGGGGGTGGCTCTGGCCTGGCTTCACAGATTCAGTTCCACAGTTGGGCACCACAGATCTAAGACCTGGCTCTGAGGATGTCTTTCCCTTGCCCCAGGGATCTGGTCCTGCAGTGTCAGAGGTGGAGACCCAAGAGACACCTGGCAAAGGAAAACTGAGGTTCTTTATGTAAAGTCCATTCGTTCATTTATTTTTTTTACTGGCAAATATTCATTGCCTACCTACCAAGTAGGCACTAGTAAAAGGGACAGAAATAACTCTTCTTTGCTCTCAGAGAGCTTACAGCCGAGAGCACTGGTTCTCAGGGTAGTACCTGGACCAGCAGCATCAGCACCAACGTAGGACTTTGTGACAAATACAAATGCATCACCCCAGACCTACTGAAGCAGAGACTCTGGGGGTGAGGCCTGGGAAGCCGGGTTTTAACCAGCCATTCAGGTGTTTCTGATGCCCAAGAATGTTTGGTTGTTACTAGTTTAGTAAAATACCTTATACATGTAGAACATGAATATATGTATATGTATGTGTGTGATTTTCTGTATCTTCTCTAATTTTCAGAATAACCCATCACACAGGCACTATTATCTCACCATTTTGCAGAGCTGGAAACCTAAGCACACAGCCCAAAGCCACACAGCCATACTCAATTCCAAGCCTACATTCTTTTCTACTACACATGGAAATCATCTCAGTCATAGTCCCTGTCTCTTCCAGAGATATTTCCTGTATCAACCCAGTCATTTTTCCAACATACTTTTATTGGACAGGTTATTTTTACCAGTTTTACTTTTGCCTCTTCTTTTCAAATCCAGGCTGCTCTAGGACTCTATCTGCTCTGTGGCACAAGCCCCCAGGGGCCTGGCAGGGCCCAAATGACTCCTATGAGACACCCCTATTTTTCCATCACCGAGGCCCCTGAGTGGGGGTGGAGAGAGGCTTGAAATACCCAGAGGGGGATTCTCATTAGATCTCTCCCCATGTTCTCTCAAACATACCCTTAAACAAGGACCCTCTTGTCTGGAGGATGAGTGGGGAGCAGTCCTTCCCCTCAAAACACAGAAGAAACACAGACCTGGGTGGGAGAGAAGGGCATTCACTCCCAGGAAGCCCCAGCCCCCTCAGGTTCAGGGTACAGGTCACCACACAGGCTCTTTGTTGCAATGACCCATGACCTGCTCTGTTCTCTGGAGATTGACTCTGGCTCCCCAGGATAAATAGGCCTGGATATGGAAAGATATTGTATGATGGCAGAATAGAGTGTCTCTGGGTGAGTCAGGCTGGGCCTGGGGCTCCCTCATAGACCAGGGCTGTGCACCAGCCAGTCTCAGTGCCATCTCTGTAGGTAGCCAGAGAGGCTCAGAGCCCAGTGCTCCTCTCTCCTGGGGCACTAGTCTGAACTGGGTCCTCTCACCTCTTCTGACAGCATGCTCAAGTTTGAGCCTCTAGGTAGGCCACCTGTGAAAAGCTACAGGCCACATATGGCAGCTCTGAAGGAAGAAGTGCCCAGGAGTGTGGGTCTGCTGTATCTGTTTGTATGCTGTAAAGCGTGGGGCTTCTAAAATATATGCGGTGATGGGTTGCAACCCCAGGAGCATGGGTTAAGATCTCCTATGGCCCTTTAGCCTTGGCTTTTGACAGCTCTTCCAATCACCCCTTCAACTCCCCAGCCTCCACCCTTTCATGCTTGACCTGCTTTTTCCTTCTATATCAACCATTTGAACAAAACTTGAAGGGCCAGGGATTGGAATTCCAGAGTAAAAAAGACTATTTATAAAAGCCTGTTAAAGGTGCTCAAAGACCTGTGAGAGAATCTCCTCTTTGAATATCACACTAACAATCTGAAGCAGTGCACAGGTTGCATGGTGTTGTTTTCCATTTCAGGTGAACAGACTGTTGCCCAGAAATGCCAGTGCATCAGGCAAATCACAAACAGTATGAAACAGAGGTCAAGCATGCTCCTAGGCTTGGCATTCAATCCTTGGACCTGTCTTCCAGAGATGAGGGGCTAGTTGGTCTGAATGAATGTAAGAGAGATTGGGTCTAAAGACCATGCCTCCCACCCTGGAATCCTTCTTATATCTGTGTGTAGTTTTCTATCCTTTCCCTCTTCCTAAGCCTTCCTCCCTGGGATTAGCATCTTCACTGTAGAATGAGGGAATTGCACTAGATGTTCTCAGAAGTTCCTTCCAGACCAAGTGGGTTAGCCACAGTTGCTCTTTGTCACAGGTACTAGGCTAGGGTGGAATGACCTGGGAACCCACTTAAAGACACAGAACCCCCAGATCCATCCCCAGACCTATTTAAAGTGAATATTCTCTAGAGAGAGAATCTGGGACCTCCCTCTGAAAATTATTCTGATCAGCTGAGATAGAAACCATTGCTGTAGTGATACCCAGGGGTGTGAGGGAGCTTACTCAATATCTGCAAGGAGAATTGAAACTTGCACACATCTGGCCACAGCACGAGAAGGAGGTGGACATGGTGGCAAAAATGGGGCTGACCACTAACTGTTTTTTATGAAAAGTTTTATGTAATTACCCTATGTGAGAGTCAAATTTTTTACTCCTCAGTCTAGGAGCACCTCAGGACCAAAGAGTCTCTTCTTTCCTCTCTGTTAAATCCATAACCACTGCCACCCCCCAAACCCAGAATTAGGCTCTTGTGCATGGCTAAGGGAAAGGGGTTGTCTGATATATGTTACAGATTTTTACTGGGAGAAGATAGGCCTAGTTTTGGTATATACCTCCTTTATCCAGGCATTACCTAACCATTAAGAGGGAGGAATTCCACAATCCATAGTTTGTCCTACAGACTAGAATGGTCCTGGATGAATAAGCAAATAGAACTGTAATGCATAAGGGAATAGCTCAGCTCTTTATAATGGAATAGATATGTAGATAGTAGTAATCAGAAGACAGACAGTGTACACAACATATAGGAGAATAGCCAGGTGGTGAACAAGACTTGGTCCCTGGCCATATCATACTCCTGATTTCTGGCTGAGTTGGACGTCCAGAGGATCCACATGCCTGTGGCTTGAAACTAGTTAGGAAGAGAGGGTGATGCATGATGATCCATGGGCTTCCCCATCACCGTGGACCATCAAACTCATTCCTCCAAAAGATGAAGCTTCCTGATCTGGAAGACTAAACTAGAAGTATCTAGAAGACTAGGAATAACCCAAGCTATGCCAAACCCACCCATCATGTTCCTTACCACATCTTGTCATAGGAACCCTGAGCTAGGGTAACATCTTTCCTCTATTCTCGAATGTTATATCTGTCAGGAAGAAAACCATTTATCAACTTATATTAACACATCCGTTCACTTTACAAAAATTTATTGAGACCTAGCTATCTGCCAGGAATTGTGCTTGGTCCTAGAAATACAATGGTGAGTAAGGCAGTGTCTTGCCTACCTTGAATTTGAGAGACAATAGAGTTTATGAGAACTTGAACATGGGAGGCACAGGGCACCATGGAAACCTGTAGGAGGGGCACTTAAGTGGCTCAAGTGCCTAGAAGAGGTGTCTACAGTCAGAGGTGTGAAAGATTGGTGGGAGTTATCTAATGAATGGAGGAGAGAGGAGAGAGTTCCAGGAAGAGACAATAACAGGTATGCCATTGTCATTAAACTGATATCAATGACAGACAATGCAGGGAGGAATATTTCCTCCTTACATGACCATGATTCCTAGTTCCAAACATGTCCATCTTCATCCTGCTCTAATGAACTTCTTATCAATATTTTAGAGTAAGACTTGAGAGGAAACTGACCTAAAATTTCAAGTGATTTCAAGTTATGAGGGAGGATTGAAGAACATGTCTGTCAACATGGGTTAGAATAATGGACCTAATCTGACAAGATAAAATGTAATCAAGATAAAGGTGAAATTCTGAGTTAAGTTAAAGGTCTCCCACACTTGTAGAAGATGAGTAGATATATGCAGAGCCACACATATGGAGAAAAGTTTGGTTAATTAAAATCTTAGCATGGGGCAAGTGTGCGATTGTCTATGGCACATGGTGATGAGCTCTAGTTCTTCATAGTTAGTCATGATAGTGTTGCTCTCCTTGGTCCACAGTGGTCCAATGGGAGTGAGGCTGGAGGATGATGTGTCAGCCAATTATGCATCAGCCATCACCTGAGACAGGAAACCTACATCCTTCCTCATACTCACAACTTGAAAAGATGCTATTATTTACTCCAATTTATAGACAGTGTGTCACACACACATCTACTGATTGTCTGTTCACACATCTAAGACCTGATAATGCTAGAATCTAAGCCTAGGCTTATCTTGCTCCAAAACTTGATTTTCCCTC